ACGAGTCCACCGCAGCCAGCCCACCCGCCCGCTGCTCTACGCGCCTGCGCCGCGGCGCGCCCCCTCTTCGGGTGCTAATTCGTAGAGCCTTCTGTCTGTCACTGCGCCCCGCCCCCCAGGCATGCTGGGGCTTGTAGGCCTGCAGGCCCTGCACTCGGTGCTGGAGGCGCCGGCGGTGTAGACTTTCTGCCCCTTCCTAGAGGCCTTGGCAATGCCTAAAGTAGTTTCCCTTCTCCTTCGCACGAATGAAGAAATTGAGACCCATGGGCAAAAGAGGCCTGCCCAAGTTCTCTCAGCTAGTCGGAAGCCAAGCCGGAACTCACGGGTCTGACTCCATCTCAAGGTCTTAACCCCTTCACTAAACCGTGACCTCCAAGAGTATTCCTCAAAAGAGCCTGGACACCTCGCAGAAAGGCCTTTCTGAACCTCAGCTTTCCCGTCTGAGAGATGGAGCAAGGAAAGACAAACACAGAACCTGGACTCTCTTCGAAAGGCAGTGCCTCTGGCCCTGTATTTCTCCCTGTGACACGCCCCTTTCTAGAGACAGATGATCTGAGAAGTAAACTGTTTCTGTGAAGGAGTCTTTTGTCTACACAGCTGGAAGGTGGACTGCAGAGGTAGATATGGGGAAACACTGTAGCTGCTATGCCTGCAGACTGAAGCTATCCGGGTACCCAAACCCAAGGCCAGTTTTGGGGAGTGGGGCAGGAGGGGAGCCTTACCGGGTGGGAGGTGATCCTCTGTACTGCCTGGCCAGGACCTGCAGTCCCCAAGGTAGTTTGGGGCCAATCACCTGCTCATATTGTATAGTTTACAAGCAAAAGGATTATGAAGTACTGTGTAATCTCTGCTTGATTTTGAAATTTCAGTGTGACCCTGAATGTGACCCTGCACAATGATTAAACAAAAAACAGTAATAAACCTAACGTCTTTAAGGCCTTTCTGAGTGGACAGTTATACACTTCACCAGCATAGCTCACTTAATCCTCATAAAGCTCTTTAAAATAAGGTGACTGATTGCTATGCTATTAAATAACAAGGTCACTAATTCCTAAATGTGAAAACCTAGATTTCAGCCCAATTCTGAGAATCAGGCATGGTAGTTACTGCCTGTAATCCCTGCTACTCAGGAGGCTGAGGCAAGAAGATCAGAAGTTGAAAGATAGCTTCTCTCAAAATAAGATTTTGAAAAGGCTGAGAGTGTACTTCAGTGGTAGAACACTTGCCTAGCACGTAGAAGAATTGGGATTCAGTCCCCAGGGCCTCAAAATCAGAAAAAAAAAAAATCTAAACCCAATTTTGAGAACCCACCCTCTTTTCCTTGTTTAATTTTTCCCCTATTTCCTTATCTCTAAATAAAAGTGGGATTTGCTATGAGGTCAAGATTATGACTTATTTTCACTTGGCTATTGATAACTTTTTAAAAAACTGTAATTAGTTCTTACATATTCTGTGCTGCTTGTTCCATAATTCCCAGCCTCCAGCATTTCAGATATTAGGATGGATAGGAGGTTTGAATGACATATTTCATGCCTCTTTGAGCAGACCACCCAGGGGCTTGGGACTCCTTAGTTGACCTACTGCTCTTGGAAGCCTCAACAATGGACGTATAATCAAGGGCTATCTGGGATTTCCGCAGGCAGACCATGGTTAGATTGAGTAAAACTTGGACTGAAAAGAAATCCCAGTTGGGGACTGCAGGGCTTAGAGCACATTTTGCTTGAAATTGGCAACTGGTGGATACAGAGAGAGCCTTGTAAAGACAGAGAAGCTTTTGCTTTCCTAACCTTCCTGTGCTCCTGGAAACTGGTGTGTTCACTGAATCAGGACTTGGAGTTTGACGATTTCTCACAAAGCACATACTATAGTTGTTGTTGTTTTTTTTTCCACTAAGTTTATTGGTACATTTAAAGCAAACAATACAGTTACATTTATCTTTGGGATCTTGTACCTTTCTTTACATGATATATCTTGGTTCTTGTTCCCCATATCCCTGCCCTCCCTTCACTCCCTTCACCCTTCCCTATTGACAAAGGCTTTGTTTCCTTTTTTTTTCATTTGTTCACATTTTTTTCTTTTCCTTTATCTCCTTTCCCCTCCCCTTCCCACTTCCCCTTTAACCATTTTCTTCATATTTCACCTTCTCAATTATAACATTTGAACCTCATTTACACTTTAGTTTTTCACACTGGAGAAACTATTCAGTATTTACTCGTGTGCCCTGTTTATTTCACTTAAGAGTATAGCCTTAATGTGCTCCGGGTATTTAGCTATAAATGTTTCTAGTTTCTCATTCCTTATGGCTGAGTAGTACTCCATTTTATAGAAAAACCACATCTTCTTTGTCCTGTCTCCAGTTTATAGTTGGGTTTTAATTATCTATTACCTATCATCTTTAGCAGTGAGATGTGAACTCCCTGAAGGACATTGCTCTTTGCAGTCACATCTGTATGCATAGTGCTCAACAGCATATAAGTAAGATTTTCTGAGTAAATGAGTCAGACAGGAAAATGTGACCTTAGGCAAATCATATTTCCTGTTTTTCCTAGAATTATTCTAACAGCAAAATGACTCAGTGGGATCAGTCAGGTAAGAGTTGGGCCATTTATTGAACATCATTAATATGTTAGACACTTCATAGATACATCATAGTATGGTCTCCTTAGCAGTTCCTTAAGTAGAGAGCAGTAGCTTCATGTTGCAAAAGAGCTAATAAGAAGATTAAATAGCTCACTTAAAGCCAACAACTAGGAAGTGGTACAGCTGGAGTACAAACTCAGGCATATTAGCCCATGACACACTCTGAACCACCGCCCTAGAACTACCCATATTTATGGATACAAGTTGCTTTCCATTTTATTGAGTAGAGTTTGTTTATAAAATTCAAAAAGAAGAGAGATGGTAATGCTTAGGAGATTAGGGAATGTCTGGCACATTATGGCTGTCCTTATGACCACATAGTATAATTCTCTCAAAGCAAATATTCTCATTTATGCTATTCTGAGCATTGACAACAGAAGTGTGGGGAATGCTATCTGCCTTGGATTTCTGTCATGTTGGAAGCTCAGGTTGGCTTATTCCACTGGAAAGGCAGGGGCAAGGGTCGGGTGTTTCTACCAGCTATTCTGTTATAGGTGGGAGGTTTGAGATAGTTGCTGTCCAATGGTTTCTAGCTTATTCTCCCTTCTCAAACTAGGCAGGGAGAATTAGTACTCATCCAAAAACCGCAGTTAGCAGCCCCAAATTGCAATTCAGAACTATTCACACATATGTGCACACATGCACACAAGTGCGCACACACACAAGCATATATAGTACATATTGATGTTTTCTCTATCACTGAGAAGAAAAAATCGTGCTCCTGAAAGCCTTAGGATAAAACTCAAGTATGCCTTTAAAAACCCCTTCTCTCTTTAAAAATATGGGTGTTTATTTGACTGTCTTTTTTAATGTTTAAATTACTTACCAATTGAATTAATTTCCACACTTCCCACAAAAATCACAGAGTGAAATAAGCACTCTGGGGATCTCTACTCATTTTTCTCCTGTAGCTTTGCTATACTGGCACAATGTTAGCATTCCTCTTACTCGGAGACATTTAAAAAATACTCTTTGTGGAGTCTTTACTCTTTACTCAGCATTTCAATATAATGGTTTCTCATTTAACATTTAAACAATGTGTATCATTTTTGGAGGGCTGCAGTAGCAAATTGCCACAAACTGTCTGGCTTAAAACAAGTCAAATTTATTCTCACAGTTCTGGAGGTTAGAAGTCTGAATTCATGGTGTCAGCAGGGCCATGCTCACGCCAAAGCTCATGCAAATGAAGATCCTTGCTTATTCTACCTCCTGGTGGCCTCAGACATTCTTTGGTTTGTGAACACCAGTCTTACTGGTTGAAAGGGCTGCTCCACTTCAGTATGAAGTCGCTTTAACTGGTTACATCTATACATTCTTAATTCCATATAAAGTCGCATTCTGATATCCTAGGACTTAGGCCTTCAACAAATCTTTTTGGGAGGATTCAGGTTAGCTGAATATTGTTTTGTTTCCTTTATTTCTAAAAAAAGATCTCTGGTTTTCATTCACTTTAAAATAGAGCTACCTGACTTACACTACTGTTAGGAACAAGATGAGACATGGGAGATAAAATGCTTAGTATTTTGCCTGACATGTACTTCTAATATTCATTGTATTTCATTTATTATTATTATTAAAATAAGTTTGCTTATTAAGTACACCATTGTATAGTAATAGAGAGGGCTTTGTAATAAGATAAAACTCTACTTGCACATGCCTGGAAAGTATTTTGGGATAGATGAGAACATGATTTGTAGTAATACTTGGTAACTTGTTGCAACAGATGAAAGCATTGTAACCTTAGTCAACTTAGCATCTTTGTACTTCATTTTTCTCCTCCACAAAATTGGGATAATATTAGTTATCAATCACATAGAAATATGAGTATTTAATGACTCAGTACATCTAAAAGTTTTAGAGCCCTACCTCATAAAGAATAAGTGCTCTTTGAATTGGCATCATATGTATTATTCAGTTATTGGCATTAATTATTTTGTTACTAATGTCATCATTGTTCTCAACAAAGTAAGTCTCCTCTTCTCCCTCACTAGCAACTTAATTAAGAGGGGAAAAGGAATGTTTTGCTTAAGGGGAAAAATGTTAGGACACAGAAACATGAATGGCAGGGCACCCTTATGGTGGTTTCTTCTACAGTACAGTACAGTACTGTGATTTTTGCTGATTGTACCATATAGTGCTGTAGTTGTATGTTTTGTTATACATTATAGTAGTACACTTAAAGTTACAAAAATAAAAGCAAAGTCATCAAGTTGGAGTTTCCTTTTGACCATTTCTTTGCTGTTAATATACATACTATATATATATATACATATATATATTTCA